GTAAGAAGCAGAAACTAGCAAAAATAGCAACTTAACAATAAAATCTAAAGAAATATATCAATGCAGATTGCATCTTCTGACAACTGCGATTGTTGTATCACATTCATGTCTTGGAGTATTTATCGAGAGTTCCAAGTTTATATGAAGATTTTGCGCCTACTGCATTTCCTACACAATTCCTTGCTAGATTATTGCTTACAAGGGCTCAATTGAACAAAGAGTTCTTAGACTAAGTGGTAAAGTTGCAGAGTTCTCAAAAGTTTTACGGACATCATCCTTGTTTTGTTGACCGTTATTGAATACATGAATCACAGGTGACCATGGATATATTCCACTTGTCGTTGCCATTCTCGTCCTGTTTTCCTCGATTGTTACATAACCAAATGCGATTTAACGACGATTTTTACTTGCCAAGGGCAACACTACGGGTGCCATTACTGGAACAGAACTTGTGACTACTTACCTATCTTGATCAGCCGAGTTGTTTGTATATTCGGCATTTCTATTTTAGCCAAAGTGTTATTTGCTTTCCTTCTACAGTTATTTTTTTCATTATGTCGAAGTTATATAAAGACGAATTTCCATAGTGTTAACAAGCTTGGATAAAACCTAACTTTGAAAAAAAAAATACTGGCAGATTGAACGATGAACAAATAAAAGTAAGTAACTAGTAAATAAAAAGTTTTGCTACATTCCCCTGTATATGGCGTTAGACGCAAAAATGAAAGGTACAAAGTGAATGGTATATGTGACCTCAGCCTTTTAATGCCCCAATGTGTCAATAACCTGACACAACATTGGAAGTCAAATCTATTTCCAGATGCTTTAAAATCAACATTTATGAAGAAGAAAAATTTTTTTCCTAAGACACCTTTCTAGAAATAACATGTGATTTTGTAAGGCTATGATAGCAGCTATTCAACAACAAACAACAGTAGGGCAAATAAAAATAAAGTAGCTTAAATACATAAATGAAAAATAATATTGCTACGCTCTAGCCAAATGTCCCAAGTCAAAGTATCAATGAGAATGCCCCTTTCATTTACCAAGAAACAAAATCGTAATACTATACATGAACAACCAAAATACCTTTCAAGTTGGCAGATTCTTTATGAGGAGTTTGAATAAGTAGTGTTTTATATAATAAGTCGGCAAGAAAACCATTAAAGGGCCCAAAAAGATTGAATTTGAGTGATCAGATCTTATCAACAGAACTTCTTAACCAAATGAAGTGAATAATGTCAGTAGTGTGCGCATACCATTATCATGACTTATGGACATGAAGAATATTAAAATCCCCTTAACTCCGTCAATGAGCATATATAAAAGTATGAGAAGGAAGGTGAACAGATAGACTGGTACAAACCAATACAGTGTCTCTCATGCCTGTTGCAAATGTTGACAATACCTGACGCAGTAAAAGAAAATCTGATTGTTGCCAATAAGAAAAGCAAATTTCTTAATTCTTTTACTAGTAGTTTTATATCTAGGTACATCTTCGTATCCACTATTGCTTATTAATGTTTTGTTTGCTTAATGTCCAGTGGCAAATATTTCATACATATGACGTCCAGTACAAGGCAAATCATACAATTATACATCAAATAAGTAGCTCTGAAAGCTGATCTACTGGGATGAAGGGGGTTGTGGGTGAATCGTCCCAAAATACACAAAAAACATGTAATTATATTCTCTATTAATATACAAATAAGGAGATGAGGTATGATTGCCAATGAGACAACTATCCACCAAAGTTCAAATAAAGTGGATGTAAGCAATTATAAGCAACCGTACTGCCTTCAAAAATGAGAAAACCCCATACCGGCTATAAAAGGCCCCGACATGAAAAATATGAAACAATTCAATTGAGAAAACTAACGGCCTAATTTATAACAAAACAATTAACGAAAAACAAATATGACAGACATGAACCAACGACAACCATTGAACTACAAGCTCCTGACTTGGGACAGGCACATACAGAATGTGGCGGGGTTTAACATGTTCGTAGCGCTCAATCCTCCCCTTAACCTTGGACAGTGGTGTAACAGCACAACTTAAGAAAAACTACAAAATTCAGTTGGAAAAGGCTTATCTCATCAGATCGATACAAAGCAGAAAACATCAAACATAAACACAGACCGGACGTGGCAGGGTATTAATCCATCCCTCATCCCTACTGACAACAAAATGGAGACTAAGTATAGATCTGTGAGTACTAGCAGTTACTGACAGCTACTAGTTCAAAGCCAATAAAAACAAATAAAAAAAAAACATGTATCTATATATTAAAGACTAAAATATCAATCATTACACATCCAACATCCAATGGATTTAGTGTAAAGACGTCATTAACAGTCAGAGAAAAACATGACCTTGTGCAACGCCAAAATGCCAAACGATCGACAGATTGTAGTAATGTTAAAGTGTATATGTGTATAACAAAATTATTAATATGATTTTAATTTACTGATAACAAAATCAATATTTATAACAATAAAAACAATATTCAAAGATCTAATTACAGAGTTGAATTCAATTTGGTAACCTTTTAGAATAAGTTTATTTAAGGGATTGATAAGTTTACCTGGATCGTATATAAATTTCCAGGCTCTGTAAACAGCTTCACCGTATAATTTAGGATGTGTTATTCCGTCTGAAATAAGTTTCTATTAAACCTGCAGACATTTTAAAATGTTGTCTCACTTAATACTCCGTTTTCTCTCTACATATACCAATATAGCAAAGCTAACAGGTTTTTAAACTGTCCTTTAAAATACTTTTTGTTTTTGTTTAAGCTTAGTGGACTTTTAAAATGACAAAGATTATAAGTTTACTGTTATTGGTAATTATTTCCTCAGTATTTTGGGAATGAACACAAATTCACTAATTTAATTTTTAAAGCAAGACTTAAAAATGTTTCTTTTATTCTTAACTTCATTGAAATTCTTATATTTTGTTTCCGTGGTCTGTTTACGAAGAATCTTGAAAAATTTAATTCGACAGTACAGCAACCGATATTAGAGTGAAAGGCTGCTTTATTTGAACTTTGGTGGATAGTTGTCTCATTGGCAATCATACCTCATCTCCTTATTTTTATATTGATTTAATATCAGCAGGTTAAGTACTTTGATCTTACTTTCAGTTACTGAGAACTAGAGTCTTTTTGGATCATGTATCTCTCGTATGGCACTTTTGCATAAAATTGATATACATGTAATGCAATACATAAGAATATTTGTGTTGAATTGAAGCTGTGTGGTCATAAGTCTCGTCCTGATCATCATTTTGGCTGAGACAAGTTTCCATATATATTCATTATAATTTTATAAAGATAAGCAAAACTGAAAAAAGTGGGTGAGAATTGTGATTTAGGGGCATCAACTCCTGCAAGGACTCGATTGACAATTTCATTCAAATTAATCTACCAGTATTTGTAGATCTTGTATTGCTGATCATGTCTGCTTTTCTAAATTTTAGTCTATATATATAGTTTTCAAGATATAAGGTAAAAACACTAGATTGGTAAAAATCATCATTTGTTGTTTACAGTTTTTCTCTACAATAGTTTTCATGAAAAAAAGCAGCAATTGGTAAAAGTCATCATTTAAAGGAAAAAGTCCTATAAAGAATCGACTGATGATTTTGGCCATGTTGACTTAATTGTAGATCATTTTTGCTTTTCTGCTATTTACAACTTCTCTATATCTACTAAAATTAACTAAAAAAAAAAAAATTTCTTTCCAAATTGGTGATGTTGGCTCTTTCTTATTGAGAATGCAGTTCTCAGTATATATATATATACATGTATTAGCAGTGATGTTTTGTATTTCAATAAACATGATATTTGTATTGCCTCAAAATTTTCAATCCAGGGATACAGATCATAAATGGGTCAAAACTTTTTCCATAAAAAATTATACTGAAATATAGGATTTACTGTGGAAGTATGATTCCACATACACGAATTAGAAGAAAAAACGTGATGTTCCTTATCCTTGTATTACTATTGAGAAAACAAAAGAGAGGTGAAGATACCATAGGGACATTCAAACTCACAAGTCGAAAACAAACTGACAACGCCATGGCTAAAAAAGAAAAAGACAAACAGACAAACAACAGTACACAAAATAACATATAAAAAGAAAGACTGAGCAACATGAATCCACCAAAAACTGGGGGTGATCTCAGGTGCACAAAAATTATACTCAAAACATGACCACAAGGCCAGCCTTGCGGTCATAAAATTTTCGAACAAGATTATCGCACTCAGACTCAGAAATTAACTAATCAAAATACTGGATTTGGTGTTTCGAACACAAATTTTGTACTCCGAGTACTGAGTAAAGTTTTATGACCGAGAAGCCTGATCTTTGGAAGTGTCTGTTCAATTCATTAACAAACATGTCTAGACTAGAGATAGTTTGATTGTCTATTGTTGAAGAGGGATAGTTTGATAGTCTATTGCTGAAGACTGTACATTACCCTCTATAGTATAGACGCGTTTCTAATTGTATTGAGTTTTAAGGGTTGCCTATCTCGCTTAAAAACTCAAAATATCCTTCCATTCACTAACCATGCTAACAGTAAACATGTTCTACATGTAAACAAAATATGGATAATTCAACTCTTCTGCTATTTAAGATAAAAAATGTCTTGCATTCTGTGACATTTGTAGCAGTCTAGACAAAATCTAATTCATTTCAATTAGAAGTAGGAATTTTCAAAGAAATAATGGACAATTCAAGGTGTCTGTAAAGGAACAATTTCAAACACACTTTCAATGAAAAGGGAGAGAATACAACAAGGCTGCAATGGAACAGTGCATTTGTTTTGATTCCCAAAAGGGGTTTAACTGTGGACTTTCCTTATCAAAACACTTATATTAATTTTCAGAAGAATTCTTTATTCTTCATTACTTTATTATAAGGATTATACTTTTAAAGAAGTAACAGCAGCCAGTTTGCTTGACAAATGTTGTCATTGAGAACAAAAACAAATTCGAACTTAAATAATATCTTTTCATAAACTTTGAACAATTGTTTAATCATGTTAATAGCATACAATGAATTTTTAACTGGTTCATCATAAATTCTAATTATCTTGTTTATTTGTTGTTTTTGCCATTTCCAAATAGATCTATCCTGAACCCTCCTTTTCTAGCAAGTGCAATTTCTTCCCTAATTCTAGCTAAGGGGTCATAACTTTCTACAGCATCATACATTCCTTTAATCTCTGCTTGAAGTTTTGCTTCTTTTTTCGCCAATTTATCACGTTTCAGTTTAATAAACAAAAATTTCAACTTTTTACGATATCTTTTCAATCGATGGCGATTGTGCATTCTCTCGCGAATTCTCATTAGCCTATACAGCTTTCTAACTTTTTTCCTGGCTAGCATTTCTGGTTTCTGTATACCTGGACATTCTCTATCAATGTTAAGGTCATTAAAGAACTGAATTGTGGGTAAAATGAAATCAATATCAGCTCTTGATGCATTTGGACACTCATACATTCCAACTGTATTTACAATGTCTAAAATTTCCTTGTGTGGTTTTGTTTTAGAAGGACACTGATAAACTAATGTGTCTGTTGTCAATGGTAATGTCTGTATCACTGAGATTTCAGGAGATGTCTTCTGTTGGATGTTTTGAATTGTTCCCCTTTGGAGATCAAAAATTCTGGTTGTGGCTGTCAGTGATGGCCTCACTGCTTCAAATGACTTGTGACTGGCTGAAACTGTAGAATAATAAACTGTTAACACAGAGATATGTCTCGCCTTTTTGTAATTTTGATAATGCAAATGTTGAAATTAAAATAGCAAAACTTTAACATGTAAGTTATGCAAATATTCAAAGTCAATGAACCATGACTGAAGGTACATGGCTAAACAATCTACATGGAAATGAGATGTGCCAATGCTAATACAACTGCATACCAAATGCCATGGACCATATCATAAGCCATTCCCTTTAAACAAACCTAAACACAAAAATTAACTTGTAAACTATATAAAAGTTTCAAAGTCAATGAACCATGATGAGGGGGTAGGGCTATAAAAATCTCCATGGAAACGAGACTTGCAAATGCCAATACATTTGCATACCAAATATCACTGACTTAACATTAGTGTTTCATCTTAAACTGATATAATCACAAACTAATACATGTAAACTAAGCAAAAGTTTCAAAGTCAATAGACTATGACTGAGGGGGCGGGGTCAAATATTCTCCATGGAAATGAGATGTGCTAATGCTTATACAACTGCATACCAATTCACATTGGCCTACCACCAATGTTTTCCCTTAAACTGACCTAATCACAAACTACTACATGTAAACTAAGCAAAAGTTTCAAAGTCAATAGACCATGACTGAGGGGGCGGGGCCAAATAATCTCCATGGAAATGAGATATGCCAATGCTTATACAACTGCATACCAAATATCATTGACCTACCACTAGTGGTTCCCCTTAAACTGACCTTATCACAAACTAATACATGTAAAGTAAGCAAAAGTTTCAAAGTCAATAGACCATGACGGGGGGGGGGGGGGGGGGGGGGGGGGGGGCAGGGCCAAATAATCTCCATGGAACTGACATGTGCCAATGCTAATACAACTGCATACCAAATATCATTGACATACCACTAGTGGTTCCCCACAAACTAGACCTAATCACAAACTACATGTACAAAATGCAATACATTGTTGACGCCGCTGCTGGAACCAGCATACTTTTGTCTCGCTGTTTGACTCCGTCAAGGCAAGACAAAAATTTTTTGTTTGCATACATAGAAATTCTGTTATTTAATTCATTAATATGCATATATACTATGATAAATCAGAGCATATTTATTATCCCATCAAAAACATAACATGAACTTAAATCCATATTAGGAAAGATTAATTGAAATAGTAATGAAAAAGCACTTTTCATGAACTGGAATTTGAGATATTGTACCAACAACTGTCAGTTCTTGAAGACCTTAAACATTGTTAAATGTCTTTTTGATTTAAATATGTTGTTGGGTTGTTGTTTATTTGACATTTATCCAAAATCTGTTTCACTTTGTGTCAAGAAATTGAACTTGCATACATGTCATCTTAATACAAATGTATTGTCTAAGGAGGGAAGGGGGGGGGGGGGGGCAGCAGGTTTATGCCATCCCTTCACAAATGTCTTACAGTTCCAGACTGAAATCCATAAATGTGGTATACAAACTTAAAAACACGTATAATTTGACTATTGTTGAAAACCCTACATGTATATGTTGCCATATAGATCCTGTATCAATGATTGTGATGATGAAGCTGTTTTTGTTAAATCATGAGCATGATGAGATATCCCAGAAGCTTACAAAAATAATTATCGTTTAACATAAATAAGATGATTAAAATAGATGTTTTTTGTGTATAAAATCCAACTATCATTTAGAAAAGGCCCCAGTGAATTTCAAGTCTTCTATTTTGGTTATATATAACCTGTTCAAATTTGTTCCATAAAATAAGACAAACTTGTTTGAAAAACGTTGTATTACACCTGTTCAGATTAACATTTACCCTGTTGAACACTTATTGATATTCCTAGCCATTGATTTTTGATTTATTAGTGTTGCTCAGTCTTTAGTTTTACATGTAGTGTTATCTAGACTATTGTTTGTACAATGTATTTTCATTGCTTTTTGCCATGTTTTTATCCATCTCATTATCAGTTTTGATTTTACCTTTGGAATCTTCCGTCTCTCTTTTTAAAAGACAAAACAAAGACAAATTACCTCCTGTATTCATGTATCTACGTGGTAACACTGAAAGTCTCTGACAACTCCTGGTTAACTTAAACCATGTGGATAGTAAAGCCATTGTCTCTGTGTTATAGTCTACAATATAATGTTATTTGTTAAAAAAGAAGACAGAAAATTCTCAATACTTTTAACCACAAAAAATCAAATGATATTAAAAACTTCAAAATGCGATATTATAATAATTTCACTATTATCATACTAAAACTTGTTATTTGATTATTTGAATTCATATAAATCAATTCAGTCTAAGAAATTTGCAATACCTGCACATTTTTCTATATGCATTTAATCTAAACTACTATAACAATTAATAGAGCTCATATTGCTTGATCTGTCTATATAAGCTCAAATTATGAGGCTATAAAATTATCTCCCTTTGAAAATTTTTCGTGAAATTTCAGTTCCTCACTTATTTTTTGGAAGTGCAATCTGATGCTTTAAAGACCACCTCCGCCAGATTATTATTTATGTGTCTCACATCAAAAGTTGCAGACTAGACGAAAGTGACACACCTGACTCATATTTTTCCCCAAGAATTAGAAATACATATGGAAAAAGTGCTTAGGTTTTTCTCATTTCTGAAGCCGTATGGTTTCCAATAATTGAATACTTCCACTTTATTTGAACTTTGGTGGATATTTGTCTCATCATGTGTCATTGGCAATCATACCACATCTCTATTTTTATATTCAGAATATTTTTGTGAAGATTTATAATTTATAGGTGTCTTTTTCTTCTTGTTTATGTTTGTTTTTTGTTTTTTTGTTTGTTGTTGTTTTTATCTATTTTTTATTGTTATCTATCATAGTTGTTTTATGGTTACAAATCATCTCAATGCATAAAATGTTTATGTTTTTACAGATCGTAGTGACCTTTACAATAAAAATGTTCTTCCTACATGGGCGCTGACATCTTGGATATTCAGTATAGTTTAAATTGGTATCCGGTCGTTCCGTCCCCGAACCGATCCGGCCCTAAGTCGATCCGGCCCAAAGTCGATCCGTCCCAAGTCGATCCGGCCCACGTCGATCCGTCCCTACGTCGATCCGGCCCCATAATAAAATATGAATAAATTATATTGACTTTGGAGGATTTTGTGACAAATTTTAACAGTATAAATGGAATTTGTAAAAAGTATCGTTGGTGGATGACAACAGGTATTTAAAGTGAAGTATTGGAGTACCAGTCAAAGAATTATTTTACATCGATACGAAAATGAGTGCGATAAGGGACCAGTCAAAATTTCTTGATGCATGGGACCGGTGCAAACTGTAATGGGACAAGCACTTTTTGCAGTGTTTACAGGAATGGGACTCAATGTTTTTTCATTATTAGCAAGCATGGGACATGAACTTTTTGAAACAATGTCTGTATATGAAAAAAAAATTATTTGATAAATCTATAACAAACAAAAATAACATCATGAACATCTAGCAATGTGAATTTAACAGTTATAACATACCAAATTCCTTTTCAAGATTTAGGGACCGGTCAATATTTATTGAGGGGTTGGGACCGGTGCAAAACGCAGTAGGACACACATTTTTTTAACTTAATTTTTGATAGGACTTCTACTTTTTTAGTTTTCAGCACTGATAGGACAGCAATATTGTTATGGCATATGTATGAATGTAGAAAATAGTCTATACAAATTTAATTACAACAAAATAAACAAGATTAATTGAGGAACAAACAAGTAACATATGGTGTAAATCAGCCCATCTAACTAAATTAAATATAGATCTATCAAAATTCAAGTTTTTTTGGTAGTTTGGTTCATTGCTGTGAAATTAAAGAATTAAATTAATAGGTAAAACAAATTTGATGAAATTCAGATAGTCATCTTTAATTATTTTTATAACTTTTTCAAATCAACTTGGATTTTCATCAAACTATACAGCTATCTTAATTATATATTGATCTTACTGAATCCCAGGTCGTTATGTTATTTGGTGTATTGCTGTCAAATTTAAGGAATAAATAAATCTAGGTAAAAAAAGATAGAATTTGCATTTCGGACTAAATTCAGATAGTACACTTTAATGTTTTTTATAACTTTTTCAAATCATCTTGGATTTTCATCAAACTCTAAAGCTATCTCATTTATATATTGATCTTACTGCATCCCAGGTCATTGTGTAGTTTGGGGTATTGCTGTCAAATTTAAGGATTAAATTAATCTAGGTAAAAAAAAGCTAGAATTTGCAGTTTGGACTCAATTCAGATAGTACACTTTAATTTTTTTTATAACTTTTTCAAATCAACTTGGATTTTCATCAAACTATACAGCTATCTCAGTTATATATTGATCTTACTGAATCCCAGGTCGTTGTGTAGTTTGGGGTATTGCTGTCAAATTTAAGGATTAAATTAATCTAGGTAAAAAAAAGCTAGAATTTGCAGTTTGGACTAAATTCAGATAGTACACTTTAATTTGTTTTATAACTTTTTCAAATCAATTTGGATTTTCATCAAACTATACAGCTTTTTCAGTTATATACTGATCTTACTGAATCCCAGGTCGTTATGTAGTTTGGGGTATTGCTGTCAAATTTAAGGATTAAATTAATCTAGTTCAAAAAAGCTAGAATTTGCAGTTCAGACTAAATTTGGATAGTTAACTTTGAATTATTTTATAACTATTTCAAAGCAACTTGAATTTTCATCCAAATCTACAGCTATCTTCATTATATTTTTATCTTACAAAAAAACAGGTTATTTGGTAATTTGGTTTATTGCTGTCAAATTTAAATATTTAAATTATAGGTTTCTATCTGAATTTTGTCAAAACTGAAAATTTTAGCCTTTTTTTACCTATTAACTAAGTCCTTAAATTTGACACAATACACCAAAACACAAAACAACCTGGTATTTTGTAAGATAAATATATAATAAAGATAGCTGAAAAGTTTGATGAAAATCCAAGCTGATTTGAAAAAGTTATAAAATTTTAAAAATGACATCTTTGTTTTGTTAAAACAAGAATTTAATATAATCATGATAATAGAACTTTCATAACAATCCTTGATAACCTTTTAAAAAAGGAAATGTGTTCCAAAGTTACAGTAAAAATTTATTTTAATCAAATTTAAATAAATTTTTGTCAGATTTAAAAGACATGGCATACAAGAGGCACTTTAATAAGGTTTAATTTCATCAGTACATGTGTGTTTTACAGGTAAAAAGAAAGCCCTACTTTTCTTAAACTCGTGTATTACTTATCGAATGTAGGACAGAAAGCCACAGGACAAAAAGTCACAGACAAAAAGCTACAGGACAAAAAGTCACAATTCAGTTTTGAGATTATTTTTCTTTAACAAGAAAACACTTATTAAAAAAAAAACATTTTTGTACTTTTCTTGAAATTTAGTATATAAAGCAACTTCGTAAACAAAATTTATATAAAAAAAGTATTTATAATGATCAAATAATTGTTATGAAAACAAAATGTCAAAGTGGGTTGGTACTTAAACGGCTTCATGGTGCCAAGAAATATATCTTTTGCATGATTAAAATTTAATAAATCTTTATTTATCATGTCTCATGAACAATTTCCTCAACTGTAAAATAAATATATGTAATAAAAAGTAAATATTTAAAGATCTTTCTCTGAAATATTCAAACAAGTGTATACATATTATTTGTGACTTTTTGTCCTATCAAATTTGTGACTTTTTGTCCTGTGACTTTCTGTCCGTTAACCTACTTATCTAGTGAATTCAAAAGGCCTTGCGATTTAAGTTTAACAGGATGTTGCAATTTTGAATGATTGTTATTTAGAATTTAATACTCTCTGGTAGGTGTGATCTTTTTGCCCCAAGCAGGAGGTATTGCTTTATACTTCACCACTTTAATCAGAAGGACAATTTTAATAATTTCTTTAATGTTTGATCCCTTTTTGATATATTCATATAATATATATCAACATGTAATGACAGTGTCGAGAATAGTCAAGTAAAATGTGAGCACAAAATCTGGTCTTTTCAGACTCTGAGCAGTTTGTAGTGTAGATAATGAACAAATCCAAAGTGATGAAGAAGATGACCTTGTAATAAGAGCCTATGACAGTTCTGACAGTGATAATGACAATGATGATAATAATACTAAATGATGAATACAGTAGTAATAGTAGTAGTAGTGGCAATGAAAGTGAAAGTGAAATTGAAAAGGAATCTTATTTGCCTTCTTCAAGGAGGAGATCATTTAAAATTCCAGACAAATTCAAAGACTACTATATGTGATCTATGTTAATCTGATAAAAACGAAGTTAAATATAAAAAAGAAGATGTGGTATGATTGCCAATGAGACAACTCTCCACAAGAGACCAAATGACACAGAATTTAACAACTATAGTCTGTTTGATTTATTCATAGATTAGATAGGACATATACTTATTTAGTAGATATTTCATATAGGACAGAAACTTTTTTTGGTATATTCAGAGGGTAGGACATAGCTTTTTGTAAGGGAGAAATATGAATTGCACCGGTCCCAACCCCCCAATAAATATTGACCAGTCCCTTAAAGAACAGTGAAGGCAACAACAAAAAAACTTTGGAACAGAATAAACATGAAAAAATACTTTAGTATAAAATTTAAAAAATATGTGAAAATTTGATTAGATATTTTACATGTATAACTGTTTCACAAATGTAAAAAAAACGAATTCATGGATAGTGTTTCTGCACAAAAAAGCATGATTGTCAAATATAATTCTGTCCTACCATAAAGCAGAATTTACCTACCCACTGTTAATTTAGAATAGTCAGATTCTAAATTAAGCTGCAATTTTTTTGAAAAAATGTATTTTACCATACACTTCATACATGTTAATTGTTTTATATTGCATGTATCATTTATTATAGTCAATAACATATTGTCATCTGTTTTGGCTCCTGTGTTGGCAATAAAATATGCTTATGTATTGTTTTATTTACTTTATAACAGCAATATAGATACAGTTCACACATAGTAGCATTATTTTTCAGCTATCCAAATACATTGTAGCATGAAATGTAGCCACAACTTTGATCAAAGGGCCAAGTGAGCTTTTCTCATCACTTGTCGTCGTCATCCGTCGTCCTGCGTCTGTCGTCCGTCGTCCGTAAACTTTTACAAAAATTTTCTCCTCTGAAACTACTGGGACAAAAAATGTGTCCGGTGACCCGGCCAACTAACCAAGATGGCCGCCATGGCTAAAAATAGAACATAGGGATAAAATGTAGATTTTGGCTTATATCTCTGAAACCAAAGCATTGAGAGCAAAGCTGACAAAGGGTAAAAATGTTTATTAGCTCAAGATCTATCTGCCCTAAAATTATCAGATGAATCGGACAACCCGTTGTTAGGTTGCTGCCCATGAATTAGTAATTTTAAGGAAATTTTGCCTTATTTGGTTATTATCTTGAATATTGTTATAGATAGAGATAAACTGTAAACAGCAATAATGTTCAGCAAAGTAAGTTCTACAAATAAGTCAACATGACCAAAATGGTCAGTTGACCCCTTAAGGAGTTATTGCTCTTTTATAGTCAATTTTTAACAATTTTTCGTAAATTTTTGTTATCTTTTACAATCTTCTCCTCTGAAACTACTAAGATGAATTTAACTAAAGTTGTAAACAATCATCATTAGGGTATGTAGTTTAAAAATTGTGTTTGATGACCCCGCCCTCAAACCAAGATGGCCGACATGGCTAATAATAGTACATAGGGTAAAATGCAGTTTTTGGCTCATATATCTAAACCCAAAGCATTTCTAGCAAATCTTTCAAAAACAAAATTGTTCATTAGGTCAAGATCTATCTGCCCTTAAATTTTCAGACCATTCAGGCAACCCGTTGTTGGGTTGCTGCCCCTGAATTGGTAATTTTTAGAAATTTTTTCAGCTTTTGGTTATTATCTTGAATATTATTATAGATAGAGATAAACTGTAATGAGCAATAATGTACAGCAAAGTAAGACCTACAAATAAGTCACATGACCAAAATGGTCAATTGACCCCTTAAGGAGTTATTGCCCTTTATAATAAATTTTTAACAATTTTCATAAATTTTGTAAATTTTTACAAAATAATTTCCACTGAAACTACAGGGCCAAGTTCATTATAGATAGAGATAATTGTAAGCATCAAGAATGTTCAGTAAAGTAAGATCTACAAACACATCACCATCACCAAAACACAATTTTGTCATGAATCCACCTGTGTCCTTTGTTTAATATGCACATAGACCAAGGTGAGCGACACAGGCTCTTTAGAGCCTCTAGTTTGTGCTTTAACATGGGACACACACTTTTATACTAGGTAAAGTGCATGGGACAAGCATATTTTTATTCTGCCAGTAACCATGGGATCAAGAGAATTATTTCAGACAATTTTCTTTTTGCACCGGTCCCATGCATCAAGAAATTTTGACCGGTCCCTAGTGTCTGTTTGTATAGCAGCTTCAACATATTTTAATATGAAGTTATTTTCCATGATAACTTTGAATGTCATGGCGATTTTTATTTTATTTAATTCACACACAGAATAGCTAAATAAATATTTACAGTCCAATGGAACCTATAAAATTTAACTCATCATAATGACTTGTTTAATCAATTCATTAGTCTATAATTGGTTTGTTTATTCAACAATTGTCTAATGGTTGTGAACTAAGGTAATGCCACTCGTAATCACTTAATTCCATCAAATCCTGATTGATTTAAGTTACGTAATAATCAAGGTCTTTATAGTTTGATCTTTTGTTTGGTGTTATGTGTTATAATAATTGATTGTATTTTTTTTTTCAATCAGGTAACATCAGAGGCTTCTATAATACATGTTTTTTTTTTGTTTTTTTTTGTTATATCGAATATAGTCAATATATTCTTTGAAAGTTGACAATATTTTGAATAGTTGTGTGTAGATAAAAAAAAAACAAGTTATATGAGTATCCATTATTCTTTACTGCAAGATAATAACAAAATAATTACACTGAATGCACATTTTCACTCTCTAAAATATAATATCAGCATTACTATAATATAACAATAAATTCATACACACTAACAAACACACTATCTCTGACACTCGCATAAATATATATATATAACTCTTAAATCATTTACACTAACAGTTACACTGTCACTTACATAATATAAAAGGGGTCACACTTGCAGCACTACAATAACATATACAGTAACTATCATACGCAGTACATATATAATATATAGAACAACTAACAGCACTATAACTGTTCAAGTTGATTAGCTCACCAAGAACAAACGCACTATATTATTCTAAACATAAAGAATACTCATTAAGCATTTACTAAATAAATGTTATATATAAACATATAGATTGTAGCCACATATGCACTAACATAATACAAGTCATACAGTTTACTCAAAGTCAATTAAATCACTCGCTGTCAGTGTTTTCTTCTGGTTCTGGGTCTGGCACAGGAATGTCGTACATGTGTCCGACGGCACGAAGGAAGAAGGAGGTGGTGATGGTACTGTCTTGAAGTTGCTCATATAGTGAAGAGAGGCGTCCCTGTGACCGTTGATACTTGGTCCGTTGCCAACGGGCAAGACTCTGTTCATCTACCAGACGCACTTGCCGCGAAACAGTTTTGGCTTCCTTGATGAGCGCTGGAACCATCTTGTAGAAGTGGAGTTTGATGCCATTTGAGAAGTTTTAAGAACTTAAAACAAAAACAAAGTTTGTATGTATCAGCTTGGGGATCGGCTTGTACCGTTGTGTATGTAACTATTTGTTATTACACAGGATGAAAGACTTGTTAAGATCACAGTCAATTGAAAGAAAATGCTAATTACTGCTGATTAATGTTGATGTCTGTTGATTGTACTAAATTCTGTTATATACGTTTTTATTATAATTATATCCATTAATCTTGAAAACTTGTAATGAAAACATTATCAACATAGTTGTTTTAAACTCATCTGAAGAAAATATTTGTCAAAGGCCAATTTTTTTTTACCGTACACCTTTTTTTAATAAAATTCATAAACATTTATGAATTACAATTAATATATATCTTTATTTTTTTATTCCTTGTAAATATATTTTTTATTGGGCCGGATCGACTTTAAATATGGGCCGGATCGACGTTGGGCCGGATCGACGTGGGACGGATCGACTTGGGCCGGATCGACGTGGGGCCGGATCGACATGAAAGCGTTTAAATTCATTAGTCTGTACCGGTTTTGCTTAAGCTGTCCCAAGTTGCTTTTAACATGCATAATTACTTTAAATTATGGAAAATAAAAATTTAGAAAATATGTTATCACTTATGAGGAATTTAAGCGGTAAAGCAAGATATATTTTTGTCAGTTTTTTGTACTAAAGTAAAAATAATGGGGTCTCACTAATTAGCGACAAGAAGCGTCAAGTAGCGACAAGAAGAATAATTTAGCGACAAGAAAACTAATTTAGCGACAAAAAACTAATTTAGCAACAAGAAAATAAATTTAGCATCAAGGTATTTAAATAATGATTATTTGAAATAACTAGATGTAGAAGCATGCACTAAAGTGTGTGTGGTGTTGTTTCAAATATACGCGAATTTTCATTATTTTATGATACTGGGAGATGAAAATAAACATTTGTTCATTTGTTCTTGAAATAGTTTTTTTTTGTTATCAAGGATAATTATGTTTAAATAGATATACTTACAGTTTACATTTTAGTGTAAAAAAAAGAATCAATTATATATGTAGAGTCGGCATAGTTAATATGTCACGAAATAGAAGTTCCTTCATAATATAAGTTCCAAATGGAAAAAATATTTTGGAATATTATTTCCACTGGAATAAATATTACAGTATATGTTCCTAACGGAATAAATGGTATAGAATATATGTGTCCCAACAGGAACAGGTATAATGACATTGTTTATAACAAAGTTTCCGGCAGTGGAACTGTTTAATAGCGGAACAAATATTAATACGTTGACCGTCAGATATATCAAAGGTTCAAACCGAATTATAAGATAATCTAATCTTTATTTATTTCACTAAAAAGGTCCATATATATATATATATATTTCGTCTAAACAACAGCCCAACAATTTTAGATTGTAAATTTGCGGAAACAAATTTTTCGTTCTTCCCTTGCCAGGATTCGACTTGAACTCATGCTACTGAGATATCGTGACACCAAATCGCCTTGCACTATTGCCCGATGCGCTAGACCACTCGACCACCTAGGCTCTATAATAATAAAGCTTTCGGTGGCCGGGGGTTACCTTCCCTCGTCAGTTTTTTATCTATCGTCGTAACACAGGTACATGATATAAAAGGCATGAAGATGGAATTGTTACAGATCAGCTGAATTATCTATAGTAAAGGATTCTACAAATTAATGTAAGATGCAGTCACAGAAATAATTATATTATAAGTACGTCTGAACCAGTGACGACTCTACAACAGATTTTATCCATCGGATCACCAGCAGTGATGGCGATACAAGGCTGAAAATACATTCTGTATATATAATTCGTTTAAACAACAGCCCAACAATGTTAGATCTGTAAATTTGCCGAAGCACATTTTTTGTTCTTCCCTGGCCGGGATTCTGATGGGACATGGGATTGTTACAAAATGTTCAGATTGATACATACTTTAAAATAATGTAATAAAATATTTTTTTCAAAAAATCACTACAAGACGTACGTAGTGGTACCAAATATATATAAAAAAAAATGAAACTTTATCAGTAAAACAGCAAATATTTTACTGTAATTAATTGACTTTTCTATAAATTTATTGTTTTATTAGTATATACACTTTTTCTTGTCGCTAAATTTGTCTTCTTGTCGCTAATTTTTTTTCTTCTTGTCGCTTCTTGTCGCTAATTAGTGAGACCGAAAATAATGTTCATTATTTTAGCCTTACCTAAATTTACCGGAAGCATGTGGATTTATTTACATCAAGAAATTTCAACATGCGTCCACTAACTGAAGAAGAGACAAAAATATTCTTTGAAAAGCTGTCGAAATAGTAATAAAAATTTCATCAGTAGTACATTTAACAAATATATACAAAATAAGTCCAATGGGGTAAAAACCTGCCGAATTTCTGGCCGCGTATCACAGGCACTTGTTTCTATCCATGGGAAGCCCCACTATCAACGTATGTCAAACATACCGGTGCTTACTGCCTAAGTGTTAAGTTTTCACACATGGTTTTGAATGATAAAAGTTTTTACGGTAAAATATTACCCTAGAAAGAAAAAGGGGTGGTACACCTGAGATAAATAATATATATGCGACTATATTTCAGAACTGGGATATTGGGGTCCTACTAAAAAGCGCCCGGGTGAAGAAAAAGCACCTGGGGGAAAGAAAAAGTGCCCGGGGAAGAAAAAAAAAAGCGCCCAGGGAAAGAAAAGGCGCCTGGGGAAAACATATAGATATTGCATTGGCATGAGACAACTTTGTGTCGATGAAATAAGTTATGCACATTGATTTTTAAAGGCAGTGCTTTAATGCCTTTCTGGTTGCCAGATTAATTTTTCCTTCCGCGATATCCAACTTATCTACGTGGGGGGTCATTAGGCTCCAAGTAGATCCGGAAATGTTGAATTCTCTCCTCTTCTTATTGTGATATAAAATGTTTTTTGTTTCATTTCATTTACATTGGGAAATAGAGAAACGATCATTGTGTTTTGTTAGTTTTAAAAACTTTTGATATATTTGTATTTTGCATTATAAACAGTCAACCAATTGACAAACTAGAATTATTTGAATTCCGTGTGGAAAGAGGTCGGGTTAATTTCGAGTGTTATCTGCAATCTAGATGTTTATAAATCATTTCAGTCGTTGATATACATGTAATAATTAAAGGTCGACTGAACATGAATTATATTATACAATTTAAAGCGTATTTCTGTTTATGCACGTGAACCCGTCTAACGTTATTGTTATTTCGCAGTTACATAAAGTAGCAAATTATCGTTCCTGAATATGTGGCGACGTGGTAGCCGATCCTGTTCCTGAACTTCCGGTTTCTGCACTGTGCAACTATTACAGATACATTTTTAATTAACGATGCCAAGTACTTGTTGTTGTATACCTGGATATCATTTAAGAGGAGGACATGCATTTCCAAATGACTTAAGAAGAAGGAAAAGTTGGATCAACGCCATGGTCCATACGCAGATTGGACGAGAACATGATGAAATCGTGGAGTCCATCGGCATCTCAATCAGCTGTTGTTTGCAAGGCACATTTTACTGAAAAAGACTACGTGCAGGAAACTATTCATGGTAAAACTCTATTTTCTTTTTGAAATATATAGTTATATATGTAATCGCCATGCGAAAAAACCAAAGTCTGTTTACAACCGCAATTATCGTTTTTGAATAAAAGGGGGTGGTTAATAAACTTAATTCAAGACGTCATAATTTTTTGGATTACGATTCAATGTGATCTGTTTGAGATTTTTTGGTGATTACTACAATTATGATGATTTCTTACAAGAGGTATATCATACTGAGAATTATTTTAGCAGTAATTATGCTAATGTACAATGTAGTAATGACAGGAATGCATAAGCTATGCCTCATAGACTTTCTTGAAAAATATCAATGACAATGTTAACAGGAACAAAACAATGACATGCTCTCATCTATATAATAGCTATTTAGGTACAAACAATGTACGTTTGTTGCATAAGTCTCTCATTGTTTGTCCTTTGGATTTACATAACATACATTGAATCAGGCAAACATACTTTTATCCAGATTGTAATGAATAAATCTAGTTAATATTTTGCCAGGTAGTACAAAGTTTACATTGCTAATGGAAGTTCACTTAATTATCAAAAAACTAATGTTTTATAACGTTTTTCAGGGCACAAACCCACCATACAGAGACTTAAGTCTACTGCCATTTCCAGCCTATTTTCCTGGACCAAGCAAGAGACTGAATCGTCAGCAAAATGAAAAATCAGGGCAGTTTCCTGTGAAAACAAAAGAACTAAACTTGATGAATATTGTAGTAGAAATCTAGAGGAAAGTTGGTTTTCCAGAAGAAGTCATTCATACTGCAGAAAGGATTAATGACTGTCCACCACCAACTGCCGAGCTAATGTTGAGCTTCACAGATGGAATTACGCAAACACCATCAATAAAATTGAGAATGGAAATGGGGAATGTGTCAAAGAGACAACAACTCGACCATAGAGCAGACAACAGCCGAAGGCCACCAATGGGTCTTCAATGCAGCGAGAAACTCCCGCACCTGGAGGCGTCCTTCAGCTGGCCCCTAAACAAATATGTATACTAGTTCAGTGATAATGGACGTTGCCTATGTTTTTAGCAGAGAATTTTGAAATGAAGACACGTGACACAGCCATGCATTTTTATACTGGTTTAGAGTTGTATACTAAATTTTTATTTGTTTTGACCACACTTGCAATTGGTTCAGCAGCACATTGTTTGAGATACATATATTTTCAAATTGATAGGGTGTCAGTTGAAAATCAGTTTATTATGACTTTGATGAAATTGAGGCATTATACAACCAACTTTGAACTGTCTAGATTCTAGATTGAATCTAGTGTTAAGAATATTGTGTATACATGGATTGTTTTTATGTCTAAACAGTGGTGTGAGGCTAACACTTGACCATCTAGTGGTTTAGTCAGGTATTTTTCGCCATCCAACTTCAAATTAAAGTTTCCTACAACTTGGATTATTATTGACAGCACAGAATATCCCGTGATAAAACCAGCTCAGGCAACCTTTTCATCATATAAAAACAGAAACACTGAAAATACTTGTATGTTCGACACCTGGTGGTTTAGTCAACTATGTCTCTTATGCATATGTTGGTTGTACCAGTGACTGTGAAATAGTTGTAAGATGTAGAATAGTTCAATTATGTGATCCAGGTGACAGTGTTATGGCAGACAAAGGTTTAAATGTGCAAGATTTGTTTGCTAACTTTTTTCAAAAAAAGAAACAGAATTAGTTCAAAACTCTTATACGGGATAGAAAAGTCTCCAATTAACACGTGCACATAGAGCAAATTATTGGACTAGGCAAAACATACTAAATTTTTAATAAATCCTATGAATGGAACTGAAACAAAACTTTCATCTGAAATAACATTTAGTTGTTTTATGTTGTGTAATTTTAGAACTTGTATTGTGCCAAAGGATGCATAAATAAAAGTGACGCAATGAATTTTGTTCTGATATATATATATATTAACAATTACATGCACATGTAAATTGTAATGCATATAGTCATGGTGTGATATTCAGTGAGTTTATCAAACCAAAGTGCATAAGAAATGGATTTAAGCAGTTACAGGTGTTACTGTCACCGTACAATCTCCAACAATGAGAAAAACTCGTACCGTGTAAAAAATTTCAGAGATCTTACAACTAAGTTTTGTTGTCTCACCATGACTTTGGTGAATTGTTTATATCTGTTGATGTAAATATAAAAAAGAAGATGTGGTATGATTGCCAATGAGACAACTCTCCACAAGAGACCAAATGACACAGAAATTAACAGCTATAGGTCACAGTACGGCCTTCAACAATGAGCAAAGCCCATACCGCACAGTCAGCTATAAAAGGCCCCGAAATGACAATGAAAAACAATTCAAACAAGAAAACTAACGGCCTAATTTATGTACAAAAAATGAACGAATAACAAATATGCAACACATAAACAAACGACAACCACTGAATTACAGGCTCCTGACTTGGGACAGGCACATACATGTACATACAGAATGTGGCGGGGTTAAACATGTTAGCGGGATCCCAACCCTCCCCTAACCTGGGACAGTGGTGTAACAGTTCAATATAAGAACGAACTATAAAAATCAGTTGAAAGAGGCTTAACTCATCAGATGGATAAATACAAATACAAGTGGACGTGGCCGGGTAGTTGTACATCCAAACAACAAAAAGACACTAAGTACAGATCTGAGAGTACTCGCAGTTACTGACAGCTAGTTCAAAGCCACTAACAACTGATAAAAAAATCTTGCATCTAAGACTAAATTATCAATCCGTAAGCTCCCTTTAGAATTTTATAAATTTTAGATTTTACATTTCTGAGTTTTATTCTGGGGTTTTATTCATTAAAAAAGGGGGGATTTTCCAGTTTTTGGACAACAACTCAAAAATGCTTTAAGCAGTTCGCATGAAACTTTGGTGAATTATTTATAGCTATTGATGTAATCTCCCTATTGATTTTCATAAATTTCAAATATGACATATTGACAAGAAATTGAACTTTATTTGTTTATAGTCTGGCAACAGATTTATTAAGTATTGCGCAACAGCACAGTGTATTGCACAACAGCAAGAAATCTTTAATTGAATATAAATTCAATTCATATAACCGATTTCAAGTTCTTTGACTACATTTATTCAGAAACTATAATATGTCAAATATTTAATTACAATCCAAATTCAGACCTGTATCAAGCTTGAATATTGTGTCCATTTTTGCCCCAACTGTTCAGGGTTGGACCTCTGCAGGTGTATCCAGCTGCGCTCAGCGAATCAGTTTATTTCTTAATTAAGAACTCCTTTTTTCATTCATAAATTACTTTATACTTGGAAATATAATTTTGCTTGGAGTTATAGTTTCTAAAAAAAGTAGTGTCATTGAAAGAGTTGACATGTTGCAATGTACATTTATTCTAAATAGTTCTATGGTACCAAATCAAAAGTTTATATAAAAGAAAGAAGTCAAAGGTTTCCCATCATAGTTTAGTTACATACATTTTTTTTGTACCTGAGGTCGTTGAATATAGATCATTATATAAATTAAACTTTGTTTGATTTAAAAAAAAATTGAATATATGGGGTTCTTTGATATGCTGAATCTAAACATGTATTTAGATTTTTGAATTTTTGGCCCAGTTTTCAAGTTTGTCCAAATTGGGGTCCAAAATTAAACTTTGTTTGATTTCAACAAAAATTGAATATATGGGGTTCATTGATATGCTGAATCTAACCATGTATTTAGA